TGATGATAATGATGATGATTGTCAAATATTATTGTTGTTGGTGGTGGTGGTGTCATTATTATTATCCTTAGCATTATTTTTAGTTTCATTATTATTGTTATTATTATTATTCATAACATTATCATCATTATTATTATTATAAATGTTATCATCTTTATTACTTTTTTGTAATAATAATAATGATATTATTATTATTGTTATTATTATTATTGTTATTATTACTCTTATTATCATTATCATTACTATTACTATTATTATTATCATTATTATCATTATTATTATTATTATCATCATCTTCATCATCATCGTTATCATTATCTTTTTTACTATTATTATCATTATTATTATTATTACTACTACTACCACTATTGTTATTATCATTGTAATTATCATTATTATTACTGTTGTCATTATTGTTATCGTTATTATTGTTGTTATTATTATTGTTCATTTTATCATCATTATCATCTTTGTCATTATCATTGTTTTCATTATCATTACTATTATCATCATCATCATGTCATCATTATTGGAAAAATAATGTCGAGCGAATTGCAAGTAGAACGAAGGAAATAACAGGAAAACACACAAACAGGCTTTTTCGCTTTATTGTTTCATCAGGGCAATGATGAAGCAGTAAATACAAAAAGGCCTTCGGCATTTTCATGTATCTTCCCTTTCGTTCTACTTGCAATCATCATCATTATCATTATTATTATTATTATTATTATTGTTATTATTATTATTATTATTATTATCATTATTATTATTATTATTATTATTACTACTACTATTATTATAATTATTATCATTATTATTATTATTATTATTATTATCATGTATATATTATTATTATTATTATCATTATTATGTATATATTATTATTATTACCTCCGCCAAGGAGGTTATGTTTTTGACAGCGTTGGTTTGTTTGTTAGGGGACAAGTCAGAAAGGGACTAACTTAGAACTGATTAGATTTTGGTGACATTCCGAATTACCGTCTGGTTATTATTATAATTATCATTATTTAATCAATAAACAAGTCCGGTACGCAATTCTACGGTAAACGTGTGCCACATTTCACTGACATTCCGAATTACCGTCTGGACGCAGCAGTGGTGTAAGTACATTATATACGCACCTTGGCGGAGGTCTGCACTCTCTGAGTGCTTTTCTAGTTATTATTATTATTATTTGTTTTAACTATCATAATTTCAGTATCATTTATTCTGATTATAGCTGATTATTATTAATGATGATAATGGTGATAACAATATTGATAATAATGATAATAATGATAATACTACTACTACTACTAATAATAATAATAATGATAATACTAATAATAATAATGATAATAATAATAATAATGATAATAAATTATACTACTACTACTACTACTAATAATAATAATGATAATAATAATAATAATAATAATGATGATGATGATGATGATGATGATGATGATGATAATAATAATAATAACAATAATGATAATAATAATAATAATAATAATAACAATAATAATGATAATATAAGTAACAATGACAAGGGCAAAAGTAGTAAATGTAATTTCTCTTTCATTATTTTTATCATTATATTCTAATTTACCATTATATTATTTATCTCCTTATCATCATTATTATCATTGTAATTACCATTATCATTATTATAATTATCATTATTATTATTATCATTATTACTATTATTATTATTATTATTATTATCATCATTATTATCATCATTATTACTATTACTATTTTTATCATCTTCATTATCGTTATCATTATTAATGTTATCATTATTATTATTGTTATTATCATCATTATTATGATAATGGTAACATAATGATTATAAAGATGACACTAATATTAATACAGTAATAAAATAGAAATATGGATGATAAGACTAGTAAGGATAATGATAGTAATGATGATAATGATAACAATGCCAAAATACTATTACAGATAATACAAATAACAATAATGAGAGCAAAAATAATGGTGGCCACAGTGATAACAATAATTATATTGATAATAATAACAATGATACTACTACTACTACTACTACTAATAATAATCATAACGATAGCATTAATAATAATAATAATGATAATAATAATAATAATGATAAGTAGTAGTAGTAGTAGTATAATTATGACTAATGTTATCATTATCATTATCATCATTACTGCTACTACTATTATAATAACTTTTATCACTATTTAAATATTAATGTATTATCATTTTAATATCTATTGTTGCTATTATCATCATAATCATTATCAATATTATCGTAATTGTTATTATAACTTACAGTATTTTTATTATTACTGTCATCATTATTATTATTATTGTTATTATTATTATCATTATTATTATTATCATTATCATTATCATTATCATTATTATTGTTATTATTATTATCATTGTTATTAGTATATTATTCTTATTATCATTATTTTCTAATCATTATTGATAATAACATTCTACTACTATTACTATAATTATTATCATTATCTTAAATTATTAACGAAATTGTATTTTTTACATTTAATTTCATTATCAATTGTTTTCATTTTTGTGCGTGTGTTTGTGTGTGTGTGTGTGTGTGTGTATGTGTGTGTGTGTGTGTATGTGTGTGTGTGTGTGTATGTGTGTGTGTGTGTTTGGGTTTGTAATTGACAGCATTCTCTTCCCTTAGAAAACGGTGATATGCATATCAGCGGCACTTCTTACTACAGCTGCCCCGTCGGCCCACACAGTTATCCCAGTTCCTGCTGTTCTGTATGCCGCACCTGCAGGCGATCCTGGAGAGGTAGCTAATATACCAAGTGAATCTTCAGGAGATTTTAGTCGTACATCACCAAGACCCATTAGTACCAGCACCCCCAGACTCTTTAACCAATTATCCCAAGTGAATCTCAGTGATGCCGTTAAAGCTGGGACCAGTGGTACAACTCCTTCAAACACAGAAAGAGCAGAAAGCGCATTTAATTCCTTAAGAAGTAGCGAGAAATCAAAAGGTTTGCCTACTGATGCAGACAGCCTCCTGACAAGTTCTGCAGGAGTCCTCATAGAATCAGCAGGCTCACATGGAATTATTCAAAGTTCAACTAGCATAGTTCCAGAACCTTTCAAAGGCAGCACAGAAAGTTTTGAAGGTTTTTCAGTAGGTTTTGGAAGTTCCACAGAAACTGCCTCTACAGGAGGTTTAGGAGGCTCTACAGCAGGCTTCGGGGGCTCAACAGGAACCTCCTCCACAGGAGGTTTAGGAGATTCTACAACCGGCTTCGGGGGCTCAACAGGAACCTCCTCCACAGGAGGTTTTGGAGGCTCTACAGCAGGCTTCGGGGGCTCAACAGGGACCTCCTCCACAGGAGGTTTTGGAGGCTCTACAACCGGCTTCGGAGGCTCAACAGGAACCTCCTCCACAGGAGGTTTAGGAGGCTCTACAACTGGCTTCCATGGCTCAACAGGAACCTCCTCCACAGGAGATTTAGGAGGCTCTACAGCTGGCTTTGGAGGCTCAACAGGAACCTCCTCCACAGGAGGTTTTGGAGGCTCTACAACCGGCTTTGGGGACTCAACAGGAACCTCCTCCACAGGAGGTTTTGGAGGCTCTACAACTGGCTTCGGAGGCTCAACAGGAACCTCCTCCACAGGAGGTTTAGGAGGCTCTACAACTGGCTTCCATGGCTCAACAGGAACCTCCTCCACAGGAGGTTTAGGAGGCTCTACAACTGGCTTCGGGGGCTCAACAGGAACCTCCTCCACAGGAGGTTTTGGAGGCTCTACAACTGGCTTCGGGGGCTCAACAGGAACCTCCTCCACAGGAGGTTTTGGAGGCTCTACAACTGGCTTCCATGGCTCAACAGGAACCTCCTCCACAGGAGGTTTAGGAGGCTCTACAACCAGCTTCGGAGGCTCAACAGGAACCTCCTCCACAGGAGGTTTTGGAGGCTCTACAGCAGGCTTCGGGGGCTCAACAGGAACCTCCTCCACAGGAGGTTTTGGAGGCTCTACAACTGGCTTCCATGGCTCAACAGGAACCTCCTCCACAGGAGGTTTTGGAGGCTCTACAACCGGCTTCGGAGGCTCAACAGGAACCTCCTCCACAGGAGGTTTAGGAGGCTCTACAACTGGCTTCCATGGCTCAACAGGAACCTCCTCCACAGGAGATTTAGGAGGCTCTACAGCTGGCTTTGGAGGCTCAACAGGAACCTCCTCCACAGGAGGTTTTGGAGGCTCTACAACCGGCTTTGGGGACTCAACAGGAACCTCCTCCACAGGAGGTTTTGGAGGCTCTACAACTGGCTTCGGGGGCTCAACAGGAACCTCCTCCACAGGAGGTTTTGGAGGCTCTACAGCTGGCTTCCATGGCTCAACAGGAACCTCTTCCACAGGAGGTTTTGGAGGCTCTACAACCGGCTTCCATGGCTCAACAGGGACCTCCTCCACAGGAGGTTTTGGAGGCTCTACAACTGGCTTCGGGGGCTCAACAGGGACCTCCTCCACAGGAGGTTTTGGAGGCTCTACAACTGGCTTCGGGGGCTCAACAGGGACCTCCTCCACAGGAGGTTTTGGAGGCTCTACAACTGGCTTCGGGGGCTCAACAGGGACCTCCTCCACAGGAGGTTTTGGAGGCTCTACAACTGGCTTCGGGGGCTCAACAGGGACCTCCTCCACAGGAGGTTTTGGAGGCTCTACAACTGGCTTCGGGGGCTCAACAGGGACCTCCTCCACAGGAGGTTTTGGAGGCTCTACAACCGGCTTTGGGGACTCAACAGGAACCTCCTCCACAGGAGGTTTTGGAGGCTCTACAACCGGCTTCCATGGCTCAACAGGAACCTCCTCCACAGGAGGTTTAGGAGGCTCTACAACCGGCTTCGGAGGCTCAACAGGAACCTCTTCCACAGGAGGTTTAGGAGGCTCTACAACTGGCTTCCATGGCTCAACAGGAACCTCCTCCACAGGAGGTTTTGGAGGCTCTACAACCGGCTTCGGAGGCTCAACAGGAACCTCCTCCACAGGAGGTTTAGGAGGCTCTACAACTGGCTTCCATGGCTCAACAGGAACCTCCTCCACAGGAGATTTAGGAGGCTCTACAACTGGCTTTGGAGGCTCAACAGGAACCTCCTCCACAGGAGGTTTTGGAGGCTCTACTACCGGCTTCGGGGGCTCAACAGGAACCTCCTCCACAGGAGGTTTAGGAGGCTCTACAACTGGCTTTGGGGACTCAACAGGAACCTCCTCCACAGGAGGTTTTGGAGGCTCTACTACCAGCTTCGGGGGCTCAACAGGAACCTCCTCCACAGGAGGTTTAGGAGGCTCTACAGCTGGCTTCGGGGGCTCAACAGGAACCTCCTCCACAGGAGGTTTAGGAGGCTCTACAATTGGCTTCGGAGGCTCAACAGGAACCTCCTCCACAGGAGGTTTTGGAGGCTCTACAACCGGCTTTGGGGACTCAACGGGAACCTCCTCCACAGAAGGTTTAGGAGGCTCTACAACCGGCTTCGGGGGCTCAACAGGAACCTCCTCCACAGGAGGTTTTGGAGGCTCTACAACCGGCTTCGGAGGCTCAACAGGAACCTCCTCCACAGGAGGTTTTGGAGGCTCTACAACTGGCTTCGGGGGCTCAACAGGAACCTCCTCCACAGGAGGTTTTGGAGGCTCTACAACCGGCTTCGGGGGCTCAACAGGAACCTCCTCCACAGGAGGTTTAGGAGGCTCTACAACTGGCTTCGGAGGCTCAACAGGAACCTCCTCCACAGGAGGTTTAGGAGGCTCTACAACCGGCTTCGGGGGCTCAACAGGAACCTCTTCCACAGGAGGTTTAGGAGGCTCTACAACTGGCTTCCATGGCTCAACAGGAACCTCTTCCACAGGAGGTTTTGGAGGCTCTACAACCGGCTTCGGAGGCTCAACAGGAACCTCCTCCACAGGAGGTTTAGGAGGCTCTACAACTGGCTTCCATGGCTCAACAGGAACCTCTTCCACAGGAGGTTTTGGAGGCTCTACAACCGGCTTCGGAGGCTCAACAGGAACCTCCTCCACAGGAGGTTTAGGAGGCTCTACAACTGGCTTCCATGGCTCAACAGGAACCTCTTCCACAGGAGGTTTAGGAGGCTCTACAACCGGCTTCGGGGGCTCAACAGGAACCTCTTCCACAGGAGGTTTTGGAGGCTCTACAACTGGCTTCGGGGGCTCAACAGGAACCTCTTCCACAGGAGGTTTAGGAGGCTCTACAACTGGCTTCGGGGGCTCAACAGGAACCTCCTCCACAGGAGGTTTAGGAGGCTCTACAACCGGCTTCGGAGGCTCAACAGGAACCTCCTCCACAGGAGGATTTGGAAGCTCTACAGAGGGCCATGGGGCCTCCTCAGGAATTTCATCTGAAGGCGGTTATGGAGGCTCTACCTCCACAGGAGGTTTAGGAGGCTCTACAACTGGCTTCGGAGGTTCAACAGGAACCTCCTCCACAGGAGGTTTAGAAGGCTCTACAACCGGCTTCGGGGGCTCAACAGGAACCTCCTCCACAGGAGGTTTTGGAGGCTCTACAACCGGCTTCCATGGCTCAACAGGAACCTCCTCCACAGGAGGTTCGGGAGGCTCTACAGCAGGCTTCCATGGCTCAACAGGAACCTCCTCCACAGGAGGTTCGGGAGGCTCTACAACTGGCTTCCATGGCTCAACAGGAACCTCCTCCACAGGAGATTTAGGAGGCTCTACAGCTGGCTTCGGAGGCTCAACAGGAACCTCCTCCACAGGAGGTTTTGGAGGCTCTACAACCGGCTTCGGAGGCTCAACAGGAACCTCCTCCACAGGAGGTTTAGGAGGCTCTACAACTGGCTTCCATGGCTCAACAGGAACCTCCTCCACAGGAGGTTTAGGAGGCTCTACAACTGGCTTCGGAGGCTCAACAGGAACCTCCTCCACAGGAGGTTTAGGAGGCTCTACAACCGGCTTCGGAGGCTCAACAGGAACCTCCTCCACAGGAGGTTTTGGAGGCTCTACAACCGGCTTCGGAGGCTCAACAGGAACCTCCTCCACAGGAGGTTTAGGAGGCTCTACAACTGGCTTCCATGGCTCAACAGGAACCTCCTCCACAGGAGGTTTAGGAGGCTCTACAACTGGCTTCGGAGGCTCAACAGGAACCTCCTCCACAGGAGGTTTTGGAGGCTCTACAACCGGCTTCGGAGGCTCAACAGGAACCTCCTCCACAGGAGGTTTTGGAGGCTCTACAACCGGCTTCGGGGACTCAACAGGAACCTCCTCCACAGGAGGTTTAGGAGGCTCTACAACTGGCTTCCATGTCTCAACAGGAACCTCCTCCACAGGAGGTTTAGGAGGCTCTACAACTGGCTTCGGAGGCTCAACAGGAACCTCCTCCACAGGAGGTTTAGGAGGCTCTACAACCGGCTTCGGAGGCTCAACAGGAACCTCCTCCACAGGAGGTTTAGGAGGCTCTACAACTGGCTTCGGAGGCTCAACAGGAACCTCCTCCACAGGAGGTTTAGGAGGCTCTACAACTGGCTTCGGAGGCTCAACAGGAACCTCCTCCACAGGAGGTTTTGGAGGCTCTACAACCGGCTTCGGGGGCTCAACAGGAACCTCCTCCACAGGAGGTTTAGGAGGCTCTACAATTGGCTTCCATGGCTCAACAGGAACCTCCTCCTCAGGAGGTTTAGGAGGCTCTACAGCTGGCTTCGGAGGCTCAACAGGAACCTCCTCCACAGGAGGTTTTGGAGGCTCTACAACCGGCTTTGGGGACTCAACAGGAACCTCCTCCACAGGAGGTTTTGGAGGCTCTACTACCGGCTTCGGGGGCTCAACAGGAACCTCCTCCACAGGAGGTTTTGGAGGCTCTACAACCGGCTTCGGGGGCTCAACAGGAACCTCCTCCACAGGAGGTTTTGGAGGCTCTACAACCGGCTTCGGGGGCTCAACAGGAACCTCCTCCACAGGAGATTTTGGAGGCTCTACAACCGGCTTCGGGGGCTCAACAGGAACCTCCTCCACAGGAGGGTTAGGAGGCTCTACAGAAGGCCTCGGGGGCTCTTCAGGAACCTCTTCAGGTTTTGTAGGCTCTACAACAGGCTCAAACGGCTCCTCAGGAACCTCCTCCACGGAAGACTTTGGAGGCTCTACAGAAAGCTTCGGGGGTTACGGAGCCTCTGCACCAGGCTCTAAGGGTTCCTCACGAGCCACTTCCACAGGTTTTGGAGGCTCTACATCAGGCATCGTGGGCTCCTCAGGAACCACCTCCACGGGAGGCTTTGGAGGTTCTGGAACAGGACTTGGGGACCCCTCAGCAATCTCCTCTATAGGGTTTGGAAGCTCAGCAGAAGACCTTGGAGGCACCTTTACTATCTCTTCAGGCGCTGAAAACTCAATAGAAACCACTGCAGGCAGTTTTGGAATTTCTGCAAAAGACCGAGGGGGGGCCACAGGAACGCCCTCCCCTGTCGGCTCATCAAGAAGCTCCTCTACATCAGGCCCCAGTGGTTCCTCGGGGACCTTCTCTGCAGGAGACTTTCAAAGTTCCAAAGGAGGACTTGGAGGCTCGCTTAAAACTGACTCTACAGGAGGCTATGGAGGCTCCTCAGGAGGATCACCTACAGAAAATTTTGGAGATTCTACACCAGGCCTTGAAGGCTCGGGAAAATTCTCCACAGGAAGCTTTGAAAGTTCTACAGGAGGATTTGGAAGCTTTACAGCGGGCAGCAAAGCCTCTCAAGGAACCTCTTCCACTGGAGGTTTTGCAAGTTCTCCGTCAGGCGTTGGAGTCTCCTCTGGAACCTCTTCACCAGAAAACTTTGTAGGCTCTACAACAGGCCATGAGGCATTACTTAAAGGGCATGCAAGAGGGCGTACAGACATAGCAGGAGAACTTGCAAGTCTTGGAGGTCTTGGGGGTTCATCAAGAGGACTTTCAGGTTCATTACAAGGACATAGAGGTTCAACAGGACATGGAGGTTTAACAGGACTTGGAGGATTAGCAGGTTCATCAGGACGTGCAGACCTAAGAGGAGGTCTTCCGAGTTCAACAGGGGACATGGAGGTTTAACAGGACTTGGGGACCCCTCAGCAATCTCCTCTATAGGGTTTGGAAGCTCAGCAGAAGACCTTGGAGGCACCTTTACTATCTCTTCAGGCGCTGAAAACTCAATAGAAACCACTGCAGGCAGTTTTGGAATTTCTGCAAAAGACCGAGGGGGGGCCACAGGAACGCCCTCCCCTGTCGGCTCATCAAGAAGCTCCTCTACATCAGGCCCCAGTGGTTCCTCGGGGACCTTCTCTGCAGGAGACTTTCAAAGTTCCAAAGGAGGACTTGGAGGCTCGCTAAAGACTGACTCTACAGGAGGCTATGGAGGCTCCTCAGGAGGATCACCTACAGAAAATTTTGGAGATTCTACACCAGGCCTTGAAGGCTCGGGAAAATTCTCCACAGGAAGCTTTGAAAGTTCTACAGGAGGATTTGGAAGCTTTACAGCGGGCAGCAAAGCCTCTCAAGGAACCTCTTCCACTGGAGGTTTTGCAAGTTCTCCGTCAGGCGTTGGAGTCTCCTCTGGAACCTCTTCACCAGAAAACTTTGTAGGCTCTACAACAGGCCATGAGGCATTACTTAAAGGGCATGCAAGAGGGCGTACAGACATAGCAGGAGAACTGCAAGTCTTGGAGGTCTTGGGGTTCATCAAGAGGACTTTCAGGTCATTACAAGGACCTAGAGGTTCAACAGAAGGGGGGGGGGGGGGGCAGAGGACTTTCAGGCTCAACAGGCAGCTTTGGAGGCTCAGCAGGTGGACTCAAGGGCACATCACACCATGGAGGTACATTCAGATTTTTTTTACCTGTACAATGGATATTGTGTCTAAATCCATGTTTTTGACATTCAGTATCAGTTTAGGGTTTTGTCAGATTTCCAACCAACATACGACTGAATGCTGTTGACTCAGTAGATATATCTCCTCAAAGATATTGTGAACTTATACAGTAA